GGGGGGGGGGGGTGTGAGTAGTCACAACTCCAAAATCAGACTGCCTGGGTTCAAATCCTGGCTCTGCCACTGATAACAGGTAAGTTGCTAAAATTCCCTGTACACTTAGCTTCCTCATTGGTAAAATGGAGATAGTAATAGTGTAGACAGGATAAAATGTGAATGGATGTGAGAGTGATATTTAACCATCCTTGAAGGGATGTTGTGTGGATTAAATAAGTAAATTCAAGTCCAGCATTTAGCTAAGTACCTGGCACATAGTAAGCATTCAGTCAATATTAGTCAATATTGTTTGCCTTGCTACTAAGTCTTAGTCCAGGTGGAATGGAAATCAGCGATTCTCTCTAAGAAAATGTGGGGATGAAACTCAATCTTTACCATTTGGGTTCTGTCAGAACTTGATATGACCAGAAGCTCTTCCTTCGGTAGCTAATTTAGCTGAGATATAACAGGAAGGCTCCAGCTAGATTTAATGGTCTAGGACTGTTGGCCCAACTGGTCAAATCTTGCTTCTGTGTCTCAGAACAGAATGGAGTTTTATTGCTAAACCCAGCAAAGCTACCTTATTTTAAGTTATCTATAGCTTTGTCATGGACAGTTCCCCCAGTTCTCTGGAAACTTGCTCTGGGAAGTGTGCTCACCCCTCCTCTTCTCTGAGACATTCACACTCTGACCCAGGTGGTAACCACTGACATTCTAAGCCAGGATCTGGGAATGTATCTGAAACTGTTTATCTGTTCATTTCCCTCCCCATCCTTGGGGCTACATGAAACAGAATGGAGCTTTTTGATGACTTGATAATGTTCCTAGAAGCTCCTACAACCAACTGGTCACCAACTGGATTCAACTGAAATGTTTCTAGAAGCTGACCTCTGCTCTCTCGGTCCACTGTTTTACTGATTCCTGCCTTGGTCTCACTGCTTCCATTCTGCTCCTTTGCAGGCCCACCTTTGACAAGCCTCCAAAGTTATCTCCCTTAAACCACATCAGGTCATTAAAAATGATTCATGGCACCTAATCTCTACAGCAAGTCATTCAAGGCCCTTCACATTCTGGCTGAACCCACCTGCCCAGCCTCATCTCCTGCTGGCCCCTTTTCCACAATACTCCTAGCCCCCCATTATCCTATTTATTTTGTTCCAACTATGGTTACTGAGCAGTGGCTTGTGCCAGGGACTGGAGGTATAAAGATGAATAATAACTGGCCCCCTACCCTCAAGGACTTCACAGTTGCAGCTTCACTTGATATTACTGGTACAGTACCAAACACATTACATAAACTTGTCATTTCATCCTCACTGCAGTTCAAGGAGGTAGGTATTATTATGATTCTCCATTTTAAAGATGAAGAAACTGAGGTTCAGAGAGGTTAAGCAACTTCCCAGGCTCACACAGTTGGTCTGTGGAGCCAGAACCCAAATATCTAACCACTGCTGATGATTCTTCCCACGGCCTCTCTTTTCCTTCTTCAGCCTGTCATCTTGGTTGAGCGTCTCCTACCGTACTTGGCCTTACTTCCGTGCTGAGACTCCTGGCATGTCAGTGAGGGCCTGGGAGTCTCCGATGGCAGTTAAGACTTCCCAAGAACCTGGTGAAAATGACAAGCTGCCTCTGGCCCTCTCCCCCTACCCCTGACTCTCTCTGGATTTGGCTTCTCACCATTCACATGGGCTAAAGTTCCCTGCTGGAAACTTCAGGGGACTGGGCTGATGACGGGGAAACAGAAATAAAGACATTAAGGAATAACAAGTTTAAAAGGGGGTTATCGTTATTAGGTTAATTATAACAGCCCCTGCGTATGTTTAGTACTTAGGGCCTGCAAAATGCTGACACCTCATTTTGTCCTCCCAGCCACCCCACGAAGTACGCAGGGCAAACATCACAGTCTTCATTTTACAGGTGGGAAAACAAAAACTAACGGAGGTTCAGTGACTTGCCCAAGGTCACACAGCTAAGTGGTAAAAGACTCAACACTAGTCCCTTACTCTTCTGACTGACAGGGCAGTGGTCTTTCAACCTCCAACTTAAAAATTACCTGAGATTAATTAATTGTCCATTAGATACAACTAGCGACCCCCAACCCCATCATGAAGCATTTATAGTTACTTCAGTGAGTTTTGTAACACTATCAAACCAAATTATCTCTAATAATTTCAAAAGGAGACATGTTACCCAGATATTTTAAGAAGAAAGCATTGTAATAACAGAAGCCAACTTGTATATAATATTTATTATATACCAAGTGCAGCTCCAAATAATTTATATAACTCAATCCTCACAACAACCTACCATCCCCCTTTCATAGATGGGAAAATTGAGGCACAAAGAGGTTAAGTACAGGTCATATAGACAGTACATGAGAAAGAGGAAACAGCTGGGTGACTGGCCTGTCCTGAGCAGATGGTCATGCCCACTGCAGGCTCTCCAAGCTCCATGTGCACCTGGATATGGCCCTAACTAGTGTCTCCTAAGGTTGCCTGTTTCGCCTCGGAGCCACGATCTCTTCAAATGAAGAGAACAACTGGGGAAAGGCTGTGAACTCAATGAAAAAGAGTAAAGAGAAGGGAACTAGGAAGAAGGGAGGTGACTGCTTGGCCCTCTTGTGTTTATCATCTTCTCAACATTCTACCTGCAGAAGCCCAGCTGACGACAGTGGTAACAGGGGCCTGTGGGTGGTACCTTGTCTCTGAAAGGGTATGGGCATCACGTCCTGGCCTGGCCTCGGCTCCCACGACAGCCACCCACGCCTCCTCTTAGCCTGTTAAGTCTACTCCTGAGTCTAAGCCAGGATCCTCGGGATGTCCTCTGGCACTGCAGTCTGTGTCCTAAGGATGCAGCGATGTTCAGGGGACTGGGAGACCATCCTCCTGGTCTGTGGGCTGGTGGCGAAGGCTTACTTTCTCATTCCGCCTCATCCCTTGGCATTCAATGAATTCTGCTCACACACACAGGTCATGAGAAGTGATGCCGACAGCTCTCCTCTTGCAAACACTGCAGTGTCACTGGGTAGCAAGGGCAGAAGGATGCGGTAAGAAAGGGCAGAAGGANCACTGCAGTGTCACTGGGTAGCAAGGGCAGAAGGATGCGGTAAGAAAGAGTTCCACCCTGCTGGTGTCCCGTGTTAAAAGGGCTTTGGCAATCAAAATTCATAGCCCAGCTTCACTGAGGGAGAAAACAACCACACACACAAGTGAATTCAATTATCTTGAGCAACATAAATTTGCCCGATTTTCAACAGCAGCCAGGTTTCTCTCGAAGCACAATGCACTGGGTAGAAACATAAAAAGGGACTGCGAGAACCCACAAATATTAATCTGTCCCAGCTTCTGAAGGTATACAGAAATCATGCGCTGGCCAACTCATCTTGACAAATTAATAAAAGTTTGGCTGAATCTATAACACAAAGACAGCATTTACAACCTTGTTGTAGCAGGTTTTGCATTCCTAGACTGGGCTGCAATTAGATTCTGGTGATTACTGCTGTGTCTGAGAGGCTCAGGTTATAAGTAAGTTCAGATGGAAATGAAATACCTCTACTTGGAACGGTTTCATTTTTCACTGCTTGGGTCATTACCAACATCTTGATGTGTCTGGGAAAGAGGCGGCATTGTGTCAACAGAATCAGAACAACATTTTGGGGGGTTTGGCTCTTCTGTAGACAGGGTGTCTAATCAGTCTGCAGCTTCTCAACAGGTGAACTGGTTTAATAAACAATAAAATTCATTTGAATTCTCTGGCTGAAGCAAGGGGTGATCACCCAGAAAGAACGAGGCACGCGTGACTCCCAGCAGGAATGATCTCCATGACATGCATTCCAGTGGATGTGAAATTCCATTCACCGTTTCGTTCCTGCACAGATGGACAGAGCTCGGGAGTTCAGAGCTGGAAGAGGATTCTACCTGCCAACGCTCAGGGTTCAGAAAGGTATGTAAGGTAAAAGAGCCCAAAGACTCAGACATGGGCCTGCGTTGCCCCTCTGCTGAGAGTTATGTGACCTTGGACAAGTCCCGCAGCTTCTCCTTCCTTTCAGTTTCTTAGCAATAAAATAATAAACCTTCCCTGACTGTGACCTAGCTGCTGTGATGAGCAAGTGAGGTGACAGACCTAGAAGCGCCCAGCCAATTGCAAGGCATTAAACATCAGGTATTACAGGTTATTGTATTTCCTTTACAGAATATCAGAGGGAGCTATGTGACTGGAAAATTCGCCTTCGGAATTTCCTCAGTCCATTGCCCTCCCAGTCAGCAGAGGCGGCTGGGCCAGGCCTGTCAAGGCCGTTGAGAGTGGCTGGGGCTCAGGCTTCATTGGAGCCACCTGAGTTTCACAGCTAACTGGCCGAGGCTCTGCAGCTTGCCCATCATGGCTGCCTTTGAGGATAAGCCACTCGGGCTAATGGAAGAAGTAAAATCTTGAGGGTCTAAGGTGCCCTAAAGAGCCTGTGTTATGAGCCAAGAGACCTAATTCTACTATCAGTTCTGCTACTTACTAACTGTGCGATCTTGAAGGAGTCACTTCCCTGTAAAAAGAGGGTATAAGATCAGATTAAGGCCCCTTTTAGGTCTATCTAGCTTCTTGTGCCTCAGTTTCCTCATCTGTAGAATAAGGGCCTTTCCTCAAGGGGTTGCTGCGGGGATTGAGTGAGTTGCTATATGTAAAGCACTTAGAAGCACTTATGGCAAAGAGTGAGCATGTGATTAGCATCAGCTATCATGTCCTGATTATAAAAATAAAGGGTGTACAACAAAGTGACTGTACTTAACGACACTGAATTGTATACTTAAAAATGGTTAAAATGGTAAATTTTGTTATGTATATTTTACCATAGTATTTTAAACATTCAAACACATAAATTAATAAAGGGTCTCCTTCAAAATGAGGGCTTGTTAGGATGTTTCTGAAGGTCCTTGCAGTGTCTCCAAAGCTGAGAGAGGACAGGCAGGCAGAGCCCCCTGCTGGCGGGCTCTCGCT